AAAGCTTGGTCGCAAATGAGTCTTCCAAATGGACAATGACCCCAAGCATACTTCCAAAGTTGTGGCAAAATGGCTTAAGGACAACAAAGTCAAGGTATTGGAGTGGCCATCACAAAGCCCTGACCTCAATCCTACAGAACATTTGTGGGCAGAACTGTGTGCGAGCAAGGAGGCCTACAAACCTGACTCAGTTACACCAGCTCTGTCAGGAGGAATGGGCCAAATTCACCCAACTTATTGTGGGAAGCTTGTGGAAGGCTACCCGAAACGTTTGACCCAAGTTAAACAATTTAAAGGCAATGCTACTAAATACTAATTGAGTGTATGTAAACTTCTGACCAACTGGGAATGTGATGAAATAAATAAAAGCGGAAATAAATCATTCTCTCTACTATTATTCTGACATTTCACATTCTTAAAATTAAGTGGTGATCCTAACTGACCTAAGACAGGGAATTTTGACTAGGATTAAATGTCAGGAATTGTGAAAAACTGAGTTTAAATGTATTTGGCTAAGATGTAAACTTCCGACTTCAACTGTATGTGTGAAGATAATGTGTATTGAGTATAATTTAAAATGTTGAGACAAGAAGAAAGGGAAAGGTGCGTCTCTCTCCAGAATGCATGCACTCAGCTGTTTCCCGATAATTGTTGCGCATTCATTGTTAAATTGTGTGAATTTTTGCTCTTTGATTGTTTATTTTGATCAATTCCACAAGCACATATGTCACTAGTAGGCCTAGTAAATGTACTGTTAATCCGAGTCACTTGGTTACATTAATTTCTGTTAATGCATGTATTAATTACAGTCATTTACCGTTCTCATTCTCGGAGTGGAAACGTTGTTTGCAGAGTTCACAACCTGCTACAGTTGTGAGAAAACTATGGAAATTAAATGCCCCTCCAACTGGTTCGTTCTGGCGCCGGCCTTGCTTTCCAAAACTATTTGAATACAGATCTGAGAAAGCATCTACTTAAAAATGTATTTGAATACAGAGCTCAGGAAGTGACTACTTTTCTGAAAGTTGGCTGCCTTCAACTAATGGTAGGGCTGTATCTGGAACTGCATGTTGAATATAGAAATATAATGAATAGAGCACACACAATATCCTATACTATTCCAATCTATCTGACAGTCATATTGGATGTATACAATATATTTCTATCTGAATATTTGGTAAATGTCCATTCTCCTGAATATCCATTGCCCCAGGTGTACATAATCAAGTCAAAACAATTAAGAAATTATATTTTGTATATTTTATAAGTATAAATAAGTTGTGACATTCAACTACTGTGACGCTTTCAACATGCCACTGAAAAGATGAAAGATGAAATTAATTGTATGATACCTGAAAATGCTGCAGCATTTGCATTTGCAAATATGCAAATAGCAAGTTAGATGCTTAGCAAAAACAACTTTGAAACCTATTTGTCCATCTGAGGGTAACCGTTCACATGGTAAGTCTGAGGCTAAGTGTTCACACTATACCATATTTAAAGGGATAGTTCACTCAGAATACAAACTAACATGACTTTCCACCTACCTTGGCTGTAGTTGATTTAAGGCAGCTTTGGGATATTTAGTTTCCTTTCGACACTTAATAGCCATATTTTTTTACTGTTGGCATTCTCAGTAAGACTTAACATCAAACTGTTCTTGTGCCTGTGTAATAAAACTCTAATCACTTTTGGAGCAATATTTTATTAGCATGTTGTTACATAATACTTTGGTGATTGCATTTGAATTGCATAACAATGAGGTGAGAGTTTTTGTAACTATAGTAAACAAGAGGAATGGTGACTGTTCCTTATGCCACTTATGTAATTACTCCATTATTATGCAATTATAAAGCAATTTCCAATGTCCTATGTCACAACAATGTTGCTATTGTAATAATCAAAGTTACTACACATGTATAAGAACTTGATGTCAAGTGTTACTGTATTACCTTGTCTCACTCGTTATGAAAACATATTTGTTAGTCATTTTGAAGCTACAAAAGTGGTCTACTCTAATGTACACATATTTAATTCTAGGCTATATTAAGATTCACATAAGAGACCTCCAAACCAACTGCTTACGATCATAATGTATATTTAGACTAATTAAACTAACTGTTGTAGTTTTTGTTTCTTCATCAAATATCTGGCACCCATCAAATACATATTTTTCAAATAACTTGCATATATTCAAGTACCTTAAATATTATTTGGTTTTCTGAGAGGTATTCAAAATACTTTCAAATATTTGTTGTTTTTCTGAGACCTGTATTTACATTTCAAAGAAAATAGTTGCCTTTTAGTTAAAACTCTATATACACTATATTTGACTTCCTAGAGTATTTGAAAAGTTGGTATTTTCAAATAAACTACAACATGTGTGTGTGTGTGTGTGTGTTTTGGCTGGGTGTGTGTGCATACAGTACAAGTCAAAAGTTTGGACATACCTACTCATTGAAGGGTTTTTCTTTATTTTTTACTATTTTCTACATTGTAGAATAACAGTGAAGACATCAAACTATGAAATAACACATATGGAATCATGTAGTAACCAAAGAAGTGTTAAACAAATCAAATTATATTTTAGATTTTAGATTCTTCATAGTAGCCACCCTTTGCCTTGATGACAGCTTTGCATACTCTTGGCATTCCCTCAACCAGCTTCATGAGGAATGCTTTTCCAACAGTCTTGAAGGAGTTCCCACATATGCTGAGCACTTGTTGGCTGCTTTTCCTTCACTCTGTGGTCCAACTCATCCCAAACCATCTCAATTGGGTTGAGGTTGGGGGATTGTGGAGGCCAGGTCATTTGATGCAGCAGTCCACCACTCTCCTTCTTGGTCAAATAGCCCTTACACAGCCTGTAGGTGTGTTTTGGGTCATTGTCCTGTTGAAAAACAAATGATAGTTCCACTAAACGCAAACCAGATGGGATGGCGTATCGCTGCAGAATGCTGTGGTAGCCATGCTGGTAAAGTGTGCCTTGAATTCTAAATCAATCACTGACAGTGTCACCAGCAAAGCACCCCACACCATCACACCTCCTCCTCCGTTCACCTACTCTGCATCTCACAAAGACACAGCTATTGGAACCAAAAATCTCTAATTTGGACTCATCAGACCAAAGGACATATTTCCACCAGTCTAATGTCCATTGCTCATGTTTCTGGGCCCAATCAAGTCTCTTCTTCTTATTGGTGTCCTTTAATAGTGGTTTCTTTGCAGCAATTCAACCATGAAGGCCTGATTCACACAGTCTCCTCTGAACAGTTGATATTGAGATGTGTCTGTGACTTGAACTCTGTGAAGCATTTATTTGGGCTGCAATTTCTGAGGCTGGTAACTCTAATGAACTTATCCTCTGCAGCAGAGGTAACTCGGGGTCTTCCTTTCCTGTGGCGGTCCTCATGAGAGCCAGTTTCCTCATAGCGCTTGATGGTTTTTGCAACTGCACTTGAAGAAACTTTCAAAGTTCTTGACATTTTCCGTATTGACTTACCTTCATGTCTTAAAGTAATGATGGTCGTTTCGCTTTGCTTATTTGAGCTTTTCTTGCCATAATATGGACTTGGTCTTTTACCAAATAGGGCTATCTTCTGTATACCACCCCTACCTTGTCACAACACAACTGCTTGGCTCAAACGCATTAAGAAAGAAAGAAAGAAATTCCACTAATTAACTTTTAATTGAAATGCATTCCAGGTGACTACCTCATGAAGCTGGTTGAGAGAATGCCAAGCGTGTGCAAAGCTGTCATCAAGGTGGCTACTTTGAAGATTCTAAAATCTAAAATATATTTAGTTTTGTTTAACACTTTTTGGTTACTACTTGATTCCACATGTGTAATTTCATAGTTTTGATGTCTTCACTATTATGGCTGTGTGTGTGTGTGTGTGTGTGTGCATATGTTCATTTGTTTGTGTGTTTGTGTGTGTGTGCGTGCGTGCAGGTGTTCCTGTGTTTTTATTTATTCCTTATTTTACCAAGAGAGCTGACTGAGAATACATTCTCATTAAAAGCTCAGACAGACCGGTAGGATTGTCAAACGTTTGCCTGCCGATAGTGCTTAGCACCTCTGTACAGTGTCGGCAGTCAAACTCATTTGTGTTCACACAGCAAAGACCTTGGAAGTCGTCAGCCACTCAGCCTTGTTAAAATACTCCAAACCCAAAGGTGGCAGTAGCGTTGTTTGGCAATGCATATCCATGCATATTGCTTATGGTCTAGATTCCAAGCTATCTGCACTAATGTTGCTATTGTGTAGAAAGCCCTTGTTGATAGTATTCAGATGGCAACAGCTAGATAGCTACCTAGCAAGATGACAAATAAACAATTTAATACACTCTCCATAATCCCATACTGCCAGTGCCAGTTCACTCTCTGTTCACTCTCCATTAACCCATACTGCCAGTGCCAGCCCATAGCTATAAGTTTAGCTACAGTGGCTAGCTAGCTAAGGACACTGCACTAACTCGGCAGATAACACAGGCAGCTGTTGGAAACTAGCTAATCCATTGTGATTTCATTATAATGTTAATACCAGCTACAGTGGTTAGCTAGCGTGGAGGAAGTATTTAGTGTGCATTGCATCTGTGCATTTAGCTAGCTACCATCCCATAGACTACATTGCACATGAAGTGTGACTGGCAGTCCGTGGATAAACTGAAAATGCCCTCTTCTTTCTTTTTTTTTTGTTGCTCTCTGATTGGCTCAAAGTCAACTTGTTGGCCACTGACGAGCATTGCGGGTAGGTTCGCCGCTACCGGGTCTGCAAGCAGTAGGTACCGCTTTTGTTCTAGCAAGAGAAGGAACGGCCTACCACTGTTACCTATCGGCAGTGAGATCATCATGTGTTTCATGCTTTACAGCAACAACCTGGGGATGTGCATGTGTGTGTTCGTGCATGCGTCCGTGTGTGTATATTACCGTTGTCCAAACATGAGTGTGGACTTGGTCTCCTGGTCGTTGTAGCTGGATGGAGAGCAGCAGATGAACATGGTGGTCCTGCAGTTCCCCCCTAGAGAGTCCTGCAGGATACGGGTCATCTTACTGTCACGGTATGGCACGTGGGTCTTCTACAGGGGGGAGTGAGGAGAGTAGAAAATACATGAATCGCAGCTGCAGAATCACTTTCTACATCATAGTGTCCACATTCCAGTTTCCTGTTTTTATTGTATTTTTTATTATTAATTAGAAAATCCATTCATTTACATTTGATTTCACAACACCAAGATTAACATTTATGGATGTAACAGGAAGACTTACGGTTCCCTCGGCCAGAGCAGAGATGACGTTTCCTAGAGAAGACAGAGACTTGTTGATGTTCTTAGCTTCATCCAGCACAGATCCCTCTGCTCCTGTCTTACTGACCTGAGGAAGGACATTACAAAACAAATACAGTACAAAAGATTATGCACAGAAACATCACAGACATGTTGTACAGGTACCGTATGTAATAAAGATCGATCAATATATACAGTACAGTCAGGTCCATAATTATTGCCACCCTTGATAAAGATGAGCAAAAAAGACAATAAAAATAGATAATAGAAATACTGAGTTACATTGTATGCTCAATTCTGGGGGGAAATTATATATATTTTTTTACTAATACAATTGCTCAGAGAAAGAGATTTAGTTTAACAAGTATGAAAAAAAAATCTCAAAAAGATAGGGGTAAAAATTATTGGCACCCCTGTTTTCAATATTCTAGCACCCTCCCCTTGCGAGGATAGCGTCACTGAGCCTTTAAAAAAACGTTTTATGAGATTGGAGAACACGTTGGGAGGGATCTTAGACCATTCCTCCAGACAGAATCTTTCCAGATCCTTGATATCCTTCGTCTGCTGTTATGGACTGCCCTCTTCAATTCAAACCACAGGTTTCCAAGGGGGATCAAGTCCGGAGACTAAGATGGCCATTGCAAAATGTAGACTTTTTGGTCAATTAACCATTTCCTTATGAATTTTGATTAGTGCTTGGGGTTATTGTCTTGCTGGAAGATCCGCTTGCGGCCAAGTGTCAGCCTCCTGGCAGAGGCAACCAGGTTTTTGGCTAAAATGTCCTGGTACTTAGTAAAGTTAATGATACTGTTGACCATAACAAGGGCCACATGACCAGTGGATGCGAAATAGCCCTATAACATCAAAGATGCATCACAATATTTTACCATAGCACCGCCTGGAGTTTGATAAACAGCATTGGCACTTGGATTGGAACCGGTGCTATGGTCAGATGACATGAAAATAGAGCTCGTTGGCCACACACACCAGTGGTGGGTTTGGCATTGAAAACAAGCATATGCAGAACAGTACCTCATACATGCACCTACGGTAAAATATGGTGGTGGATCTTTGATGTTATGGTGCGATTTTGCTTCCACTCGTCCTGGGGCCCTTGCTTGTTCACCCATGACCTACTACTGGAGACCTGAGAGCTGAAGGTCGATACAACGCTAATAAACACACTGAGGACTAAATTCAGCGCTGTGTGCAGAATCTACTCTTTTCTGCTGTAGTCAGCAGCAAGAGCACTGGTCCCAATGCACATAGGTGTACATTACATTGCTAACTGTGGCCAATACGTCTCCCGAGTGGTCTAAGGCACTGCATCGCCGTGCTAACTGTGCCACTAGAGATCCTGGTTCGAATCCAGGCTCTGTCGCAGCCGGCCGCGACCGGGAGACTCATGGGCGGCGCACAATTGGCCCAGCGTCGTCCAGGGTAGGGGAGGGAATGGCTGGCAGGGATGTAGCTCAGTTGATAGAGCATGGCGTTTGCAACGCCAGGGTTGTGGGTTCGATTCCCACGGGGGGCCAGTATAAAAAAATATGTATTCACTAACTGTAAGTCGCTCTGGATAAGAGCGTCTGCTAAATGACAAAAAAAAAAAAAATGTAAAAAAAATGCTATACAGAGTAGAAAGAAACCCATTTTAACATAGCAGACCAGTTGTACTGATCTGTCTGTGACTGAGATGGATGGAAGGAAAATATAACAGCTGGATGAACGAGAGAAAGAACACATCTCTCTTGGGATGTAATAAAGATGCTTCATTAGTTACCCTAGGTAACTAGACTAGGTCTTCACCTCACCTTCTCACTATCAGCCAGGTATATAATTCAATCACTAAAGGCCAATTTCTCTGACAAAGATGAAGCCCAGTCCTGAACTAAGCAGCATGCTAAATGGAAATTCTTTATTGAAATAGCTTATTCTGTGGCTGGGGAACCGTACTAAGTCTATTGGGATGCAATAAAGACGCTTTGTTACCATTAACTACAGTAGTCCTGAACCTCCTCACCTTCTCACTCCCAGCCAGGTCCACCAGGTAGAGCTTCCCACAGAGTTTCTGTTCTGTCTCCACGTGCTCCTGCTTGATGTTGATCAGGAAGATACTGTGACTTCTGGAGCTGTGCTCATTCATATCTGGAGAAGGGAAGGAAATGAGAGGTGATATGATGTGAGGAGGGAAGAGGTGTTTGTGTGAGTGGAGGACACAGAGATAGAAAAACATATAGCAAAACACTGTGATAGACACCACAGACACGATTTAAGATTCTACAGAGTAACTCTACAGATGTGACTTTACACTTCACACTATACATTGTACTAAGTGGCAGAGTGACAGACGTGCCGCTACATACAGACTCTACAGATAATGTTAAAAGTGTCAGTGTCAGAGTGTCATTGGGACTTACTGGTGACAGCAACATGGCGGTTGGCTTTTCCCTCATCGATAACATCCATCACCTCCTCTGGGCTGGAGACAAAGCGCTCAGTGCAGCCCTGAGATTCAACAAAAAAACATTAGAATTGTTCGAATTCATTCCTGTTCCCAAGAACTCTAAGGCTACCTGCTACAATGACTACCGCCCTGTAGCACTCACATCTGTAACCATGAACTGCTTTGAAAGGCTAGTTATGGCACACATCAACTCCATCATCCCAGACACCCTAGACTCACTCCAATTTGCATACCGCCCCAACAGATCCATAGACGAAGCAATCTCGATTGCACTCCAGACTGCCCTCACCCACCTAGATAAGAGGAATACCTACAGTGCATTCGGAAAGTTTTCAGAACCCTTCCCTTGTTCCACATTTTGTTACGTTACAGCCCTATTCTAAAATTGATGAAATAAAAAAAACTCCTCATCAATCTACACACAATACCCCACAATGACAAAGCAAAAACAGGTTTGTCAATTTTTTTGCAAATGTATAAAAAATACAAAAACAGAAATATCTTATTTACATAAGTATTCAGACCCTTTGCTATGAGACTCAAAATGGAGTTCAGGTGCATCCTGTTTCCATTGATCATCCTTGAGATGTTTCTACAACTTGATTGGAGTCCACCTGTGGTAAATTCAATTGATTGGACATGATTTGGAAAGGCACACACCTGTCTATATAAGGTCCCCCAGTTGACAGTGCATGTCAGAGCAAAAACCAAGCCATGAGGTCGAAGGAATTGTCCGTAGAGCTCCGAGACAGGATTGTGTCGAGGCACATATCTGGGGAAGGGTACCAAAAAAGTTATTCAGCATTGAAGGTCCCCAAGAACACAGTGGCCTCCATCATTCTTAAATGGAAGAAGTTTGGAACCACCAAGACTCTTCCTAGAGCTGGCCGCCCGGCCAAACTGAGTAATCGGGGGAGGAGGGCCTTGGTCAAGGAGGTGACCAAGAACCCGATGGTCACTCTGACAGAGCTCCAGAGTTCCTCTGTGGAGATGGGAGAACCTTCCAGAAGGACAACCATCTCTGCAGCACTCCACCAATCAGGTCTTTATGGTAAAGTGGCCAGACGGAAGCCACTCCTCAGTAAAAGGCACATGACAGCCCGCTTGGAGTTTGCCAAAAGGCACCTAAAGGACTGTCAGGCGATGAGAAACAAGATTCTCTGGTCTGATGAAACCAAGATTGAACTCTTTGGCCTGAATGCCAAGCATCACGTCTAGAGGAAACCTGGCACCATCCCTACAGTGAATCATGGTGGTGGCAGCATCATGCTGTAGGGATGTTTTCAGTGGCAGGGACTGGGAGACTAGTCAAAATCGAGGAAAAGATGAATGGAACAAAGAACAGAGCGATCCTTGATGAAAACCTGCTCCATGTCACGCCCTGGCTCTAGGGACTCTTTTATGTTGAGCCAGGGTGTGTAGAGTCTATGTGTTGTGCTCTTTGTTTTACATTCTAGGTCTTGTATTTCTATGTTGGCCAGAGTGGTTCCCAATCAGAGGCAACGAGTGTCAGCTGTTGCTGGTTGTCTCTGATTGGGAACCATATTTAAACAGTCTGTTTTCCCTCAGTGTTTGTGGGATCTTGTTCCGTGTTCCTAGTAGGTTGTGTTTGAGCTAAGGACGTCACGTTATCGTTTTGTTCTTTTGTTCGTGTTATCTTTCAGATTTAATAAATATGTTTGCATTCAACGCTGCGCATTGGTCCTCTGTTCCCGACGAACGTGACACTCCAGACCTTTGAATACCTCAGACTGGGGCGAAGGTTCACCTTCCAACAGGACAACAACCCTAAGCACAGAGCCAAAACAATTCAGGAGTGGCTTCGGAACAAGTCTCTGAATGTCCTTGAGTGGCTTAGCCAGAGCCCGGACTTGAACCCGATCGAACATCTCTGGAAAGACCTGAAAATAGCTGTGCAGCGACGCTCCCCATCCAACCTGACAGAGCTTGAGAGGATATGCAGAGAAGAATGGGAGGAACTCCCGAAATACAGGTGTGCCAAGATTGTAGCGTCGTACTCAAGAAGACTCGAGGCTGTAATCGCTGCCAAAGGTGCTTCAACAAAGTACTGAGTAAAGGCTCTGGATACTTCTGTAAATGTAATATTTCCGTGTGCTTTTACAAATAAATGTACAAACATTTCTAAAAACCAGTTTTTGCTTTGACATTATGGGGTATTGTGTGTAGATTGATGAGAGACATAAAAATAAAAAATAAAATTAGAATAAGGCTGTAACGTAACAAAATGTGGAAAAAGTCAAGGGGTCTGAATACTTTCCGAATGCACTGTCTGTGAGAATGCTGTTCATTGACTACAGCTCATCGTTCAACACCATAGTCCCCTCCAAGCTTGTCACCAAGCTTTGGGACCCTGGGACTGAACACCTCCCTCTGCAACGGGATCCTGGAATTCCTGACGGGCCGACCACAGGTAGTGAGGGTAGACAATATCACCTCCGCTGACCATCAACATGGGGGCCCCACAGGGGTGTGTGCTTAGTCCCCTCCTATACTCCATGTTCACCCATGACTGCGTGGCCACGCACGACTTCAACACCATCATCAAGTTTGCTGACGACACGACGGTGGTAGGCCTGATCACCGGCGACGAGGAGACAGCCTACAGGGAAGAGGTCAGTGACCTGGCAGTGTGGTGCCATGACAACAACCTCTCCCTTAATGTCAGTAAGACCAAGGAGCTGATCGTGGACTACAGGAAACGGGGGGGGGGGGGGGGGGGGGGGTTTCCACATCGATGGTTTCCAAATCACTAAGGACTTAAAATGGACCAAACACACGCGACAGCGGCTCTTCCCCCTCTAGAAGTCTGAGGCAACAAGTCTGACACCAAGAGGCTCCTGTACAGCTTCTATCCTCAAGCCATTAGACTGCTAAATTGCTAACAAAGTGCCTACGAAGACTATCTGCATTGACCCTTTTTTACTTTTTTTTGTTGCACTGACTATGCACACTCACAGGACTCTACACACTCTCACACACACACACACACACACACACTTCAGTGGCTCACACACACATAACACGTACACACATTCATACTGACTCACATACAATCATCATATACTCTGCTGCTACTCCGTTTATCATATTTCCTGATGCCTAGTCACCTTACCCCTACACATATCTACCCCTACCACTCCAGTATCCCTGCACATTATAAATATGGTATTGGCACTGACCCTGGAACTGACCCTGTACTGTACTGTATATATATATATAGATATATTACTTACTTTCTTTTGTTCTTATTTCTATTTCTTGTGTGTTTTTGTTCTACTTTTCTTGTTGTTCTACGGATATTGATTATTGTATTGTTGGGAAAGAGCTTGCAAGAAAGCCATTTCACTGTACTTGTGCAGGTGACAATAAAACAAGAAATTTGAAAACATTAATTAGTTAGAATGGTTTCCTGACGTAATAACGTTATCCTTATGAAGATGACACTTGGGCCTTATGTAAAGCCCATCACAGATGAGACCCACAGATTACAGATGGCCAGTTAGTTAGTATCCCATCAGCAGTCTGACTCACCTTCACATATGGAACCTTGTTCTTGTCCTCATGCACTGCCAGATTGGTCTTCGTCACTGATTGAGACGGGGGCAGAAGAAGAGAGATGTCATTATTACTCTGCAAGTACAGTCACTGGAACTGGACAGGAACAACTGTTACTTAGGGCGTTGGCACACATAGTTCTGAGCTATAGTTCGATTCAGAGTTCGATTATTTGTTACATTGTATTTTTTTTCATTTGGTCCGGTTGGTTTCACATTGACAAATGTCAAACAAACTAAAATGCCTAAACAAAACCACGTGTTCATGGAAGTCATTTGTTTATTGAAGAAAAACACTCACGTTAAATCCATCAATGAGAAGCATAACTTGTGTCTCCCAAACGTCATATTACTTTGGTCTTCCAACAACATGCAATAGCCGCTCTAACTGCGACGTGAATAGGCTATATTCAGTAGCATACATCCCTGGTATAGCCCCTGTGTCCCCTCATCTGCATCGGATGTGCTCATAAATGCTACTCACAGAATGTTTCAGAGATCTCAAGTTATGGTACTGTGTGATCGCAGTCAAACAACCAATAATAGTTCAGAAAAACTGCTCCAAACCAATTTGGTGTGAAAGCCCCCTAAGTTAAGAGACTTTACTTTCATATTTTCCCAAAGGCCCAAAACACTGTAATCAAATCAAAACTTATTTGAAGTGTATTTCACAGACACTTTACAAACACAGACGCAACAGTTGCTTTATGTTTCAACTTTGTGTTTTTGATGGGAGATCATATCCAATCAGATCAGATTTACGTCAAGTCTGTGGATACTCTCAGAGGTGTGTGTGTAATCATTTGTTTGTGACTGGAATGTTTCTAAGTCTGACAAGCCTGTTGCTGCTCTGACTCAAGCCGTCCTCAGGCCCTGACTGTCATTCCGATTTAATTTTAACAGGAAATGAGCGGTAAAACAGACAGTCTCTTCCTGGACTGGACAGAGGAGCGACTAAGGCCATGTACGTAGTTACATTTATGTTTCAGGTTTGTGTGAGAGGTCATATCCAATCAGATCAGATTTATGCCAAGGATGTGGATACGCTCAGAGGTGTGTGTGGATGTTTCTCTCTCTCTCTCTCTCTCCTCTCTCTCTCTCTCTCTCTCTCTCTCTCTCTCTCTCTCTCTCTCTCTCTCTCTCTCTCGTCAATGCCTTAGGCTGCTGTGATATAGTTTGCATCCCAAATGGCATTTTTTATTTTATTTATTGCCTTTATTTAACCAGGTATGTTTTTGAGGACACATTAATTGCCTCTGGCTGGTGTGATTTACTCAGATAGACATCTACCGTCTACATACAGGGAGTCTAGCCACAGCCTCTCTAGAAGCTCACATATACTATCATAAGGGTATCATTTTACTGTTGCACATACAAACAAAATACTAAATTTAAGAGGAAATGACAAGTCACATTGAAAACCGCAGTGTGTATGTAACCGCAGTATGTGTGTGTGTGTGATTTTACTGCTGTGAATACACTTACCATCCAGAAGATCTCTGATTTTGTCCATGTATATTTCAAAATAGGACACCTGGTGAAGAGAGGAGAGAGCATATTGAAAGAAATTAATCTTTGAGAGGATAGGGGACTGATTATACTAATCTGTCAAATCTGTTAAAGTGATATTCTTGGATCACAGGCATTCTTCTAGGTATAGTCTCTTGTGAGCACTGAGATTTGGTTCTGGGTGCCGAGTACACCAGGTATTAGTTATGAGATATTATAAGATAGTTGTGATTTAGGCAAATGCACAAATACGAAAAGATACTCATGATTTATTCATATCCTGTATCTATCCATTCCATAATTACTATGAACACAGACATCATACACAGTTCATGGTGAGGTTATGCAGTAGACTGGTTTGGTACAGATGTTTCTGCTTTAACTAGATACTGATGTTTGATTACACATCATGCAACATGCATATTCGTCCACAGTAACTCCAGTGATTATAGAGCGCTATGGCTATGATGGATTCAGACACAGTTTTCAGTTATGGTGAGATGGTGCAATAGCCTGGTCCAGTGTTCTGTATGCTATGGCAGGACAATAATATCCAGAATAGCCACAATACTTGTCCAGACACAGTAACTCCAGTGATTATAGAGGGCTATGGCTATGATTGATTCAGACATCACACAGTAGTTCTCAGTTATGTTAAGCTGGTGCAGTAATCTGGTCCAGATCTATGTTTATTGCTTGACAAAATAGCCAGAAGAGCATAGAGACATAGTAGAGACACATTCGCATTCACAGTGTCTCCAGTTATTCCAGAGGGCCACGGTGGATTGAGGCATCACACTCAATTATGGTGAGTTAGATGTTGCTGTACAGTGGAAGCTGCTGAGGGGATGGCTCATTATAATGCCTGGAATGGAGTAAATGGAATGGTATCACACGTGGTTTCCTTGTGGTTGATACCATTCCATTGACTCCATTCCTCAGCAGCCTCCACTGGTTCCGTAGTCTGGTCTGGTCCCAGATGTGCTTTAGCTAACTCCTCTGAACTATTGGAGCATGCCAATAATAACCGGAGGAGTTCTCTGGAGCACATAAACTCGTAGAAAAAAAGTGCTATCTAGAACCTAAAAGGGTTCTTCGGCTGTCCACATCAAATAACCCTTTGTAGAACCCTTTTTGGTTCCAGGTAGAACACTTTTGGGTTCTATGTAGAACCCTTTCAACAGAGTGTTCTAAATGGAACCCAAAAGGGCTCTACCTGGAAACAAAAAGGGTTATCCTATGAACCCTTTCGGAACCCTTTTTTAAAAGAATGTAGAGATGTGGGACACCACCATGGCTACTGTTGCAGAACATGTTGTTACTACAGAGCAGAGGGTCATGATGGAAGACATCACACAGTTCTCAGATATGGTAAGCTGGTGTGGTAGTCTAGTACCGAAGTGTGTTTTAGTTTATCCAACTGCTTGAGTAACCGGACTATCGTGGACATTGTGGTCATTTTTAAGGGGTGTGCTCATCCCCAGTGCCACTATCTTGATTGTGGAGGAGGTGGTTCTTATGGCAAGGATGACCTAGAAGACGGACACCTCCTAATAATAACCATAGGAGTTTTCTTGAGCACATAGAGCAGTGGAGGTTCCTCAGAGGAGGAAGGGGAGGACCATCCTCCTCAGTGAATTTCATCAAAATAAAAATAGTGAAACATTAAAAACTATACAAACTATATTCACGTCACCAAATAATTGATTAAATCACACTGTTTTGCATTGAAGGTCTACAGTAGCCTCAACAGCACTATGTAGGGTAGCACCATGGTGTAGCCAGAGGACAGCTAGCTTCTGTCCTCCTCTGGGGACATTGACTTCAATACAAAACCTAGGAGGCTCATGGTTCTCAACCCCTTCCATAGACTTACATAGTAATTATGACATCTTCCTCCTATCAGAGCTCTTGCAGCATGAACTGACATGTTGTCCACCCAATCAAAGGATCAGAGAATGAATCTAGTACTGAAAGCATCATCTACAGCTAGCTAGCACTGCAGTGCATAAAATGTGGTGAGTAGTTGACTCAAAGAGAGAAAGACAATAGTTGAACAGTTTTGAAGAAATGTATTTATTTAAAAATGAAGGAGAATCAAGAGAGAGAGAGAGCTATATTTCGAGATTTTACTTTCACATTCACTTACTTAGCTAGCAAATGCAGATAGCTAGTTTAGCCTAATCAAACGCCCGGCTCAAACAGAGGGATGCTATGTTAGCTAGCTGGCTATGACTATGAAACACTGGAACTCTTCCAAGTTAAGGTAAGCTTTTGGTTTTAATTATTTATTGCCACCGGGGCCCACCGGCGTAACTGCTAAACTGCTTACTTACTGTACACTGTACTGCATGATTGTAACTGGTTTACTAACGTGTTAGTTCTATTAGCTAGGTAGACTATGACGTTACTTTAGCTAATGTGGTGACAACTATGTAGGCTGTGTGTAACAGCTATGATATGGTTTGGCTTGGAAAGGTTTTTTCACCTGGTCACATACAGCTGATGTGTTGTGCATTGAAGTCCACAAGTGAAGGGAAAAGGTGAGAGGAGGAGAGCACGTAGATGCGAGAAGGAATACAACGTGGCTGCTATGAAAGTGAACTGTGTTTACGTGTGATCAGGGATGTATTCATTCCACCGATTCTGTTGAAAAACTTTTCTTAAACGGAAGCATATGGAACGATACAGGGATAAACATACCTGAATTTGTCCAATAAAAACTCTCCTTTGCAACTGTTGGACTAATGATTACACCATAGATCAGCTAGATGCAGGCAAGAGTGTGCAAGGCGGTATTCCATGTGCCACTGTTTGTAACCTCAAATTTTTCTCTCGACCTGTGTGCAACTACGTTGTAAACTTTCATTCATAGGATAGGTTGTAGCAACCTCATGATCGGTATAGGGAAAATTAGAGTATCATGTAGTAGCCTAAATCAATCCATGATACATTGAACTGGGTGAATGGAATATGAATGACAGTCATCCAATATGCTTTTATAGAAGTAAGGCCAAGCTCCCTCATCTTAAACAACACCGACCACCACTGACATAGAGATCTGGGACACCACCATGCTACTGGTGCAGAAAATTTTGTCACTACAGACCAGAGGGTCATGGTGGAATACAGACATCACACAGTTCTCAGAAATGGTGAGATGGTGCAGTAGTCGGGTCCAGTAATCTGTATGCTATGGTGTGATAAAAATAGGCAGAAGAATTGGCTAAAGGACATTCAGATCTAGGACACCAGACAGTGGCTTTATAGTCGTCATCCACTAGATAGATGAAATTAAAAGTGGCAGGGCGGTGATGTGATGCCCAGAGGGGCAATGTGTGGTCCGGAGTCGTCTGCACTACCACTTGACCAGACTCTGGGACTATTGGTGCAGACAGACAGTGTTGTCAGCAGAGTACAGACCTTGATGTGGAACTCAAGGTTTTCATCCATTGCGAATATGTGATTGAAGATGTCCTCTGCAATTCTGGGGATGATCCCCATCCCATGAGGGTCATGCAGCTTGCCCTGAAAGATGACAGAAGGGATGGGGGAAAAGAGGAGGGGGAGTCAGAGGAGAGGAAGGAAGGATAAGAGGAAAATACTTGGGGGAGGTTAACGGGGAGGAAAAGACTAGGCGGAGTTAGAGAGGAGGAAGAGAAGAGGGGGAGGAAAAGAAGGAGGAACAGGGACTTAACTTGGAAGAGAGTCAGATGATATTTAGAGGAGAGGAGACAGGACAGTAAATCATTTAAAGCGAGGGGACTTCAACTACTGGAGTGTACAATTATTTAGGCCAGTCAGTGTGTCACGGATTCTGCCGAGGCTGCCCCTCCTCCTTGCTCGGGCAGGCTTCGGCGTTCGTCGTCACCGGAATACTAGCTGCTGCCGATCTATGTTCTATGTTTCTATGTTGCACCTGTTGTCTATTGTTACACACCTGTTGCCCATTATGTGATTACTCCTTCCCTATTTAACCCAGTGGCTCCCAATGTATTTTGGGCGTGTTTGCCTTTCGTTTCGTGTGTCGTTGGTGAGCGGGTTTGTTCCTCCATGTGTGGAGGTGTTCTGTATTGTTTTCTTTACTTATACAGTAAAGTACGTTTCATACGAGTTTCTGTGTCCTGCGCCTGACTTCAATCCACCGCATTACACTGACACTCGTGACACAGTGTTTCTCAACCACTCAACTTATCATCAATCCATTGATTAGTACAATTAGGTGTGCTTGTGCTGGGCTGGAACAAAATTGTGCAACCTGCAGGGTACTACCTGAGGACAGCAGCTGAGAATCACTGGTTTATATCACTCTACTTAAAGAACACTCCAGTCTACGTCCCAAACTGGACAAAAGTAGTGCACTTTATAGGGGATAGGGTGTCATTTGGGATGCAAGCCAAGTCTAATCTCTTTAGTGATGTAGTCTACAAAAACGTACCTCCATGGTGTGTGTTTTTCCAGAGGCGGTCTGTCCGTAGGCGAAGATGGTGCCATTGTATCCCCCCAGTACATCTAGAGACAGGAGAATACAGTATGTTCAACAGAACAGCACATCTATAAAGTAGGAAAGATCCAGGACACAGGACAATAGATGTTAGATACAGGAGAACAGAGGCAGAAGAAGGAGACAGGAGGCAGAATACAGGAGAACAGAGGCAGAAGAAGGAGGCAGGAGGCAGAATACAGGAGAACAGAGGCAGAAGAAGGAGGCAGGAGTAGCGAGAGGATGATAGACAGAACACAACAGCCTCCTCATTCAGCCCATAGCAACAAGACGCTCTGCACCACCAAAGATTGCCCACCTACAGACAGAACAACACACACATACGCGCCCACACACACACACACGCACACACACACGCCTACAGAGGACATCATACAGGAAGCACTAACAAGCAGCACCACCTCCGTCTTGTCAGACAGTGGGCAGAAAGTCAAACATGAGCAAAAAGACATATCAACTTAGAAAAGAATGTACGAAGGGTTTCAGGCTAGGAGCCGTGGGGTACCATAACTACTTTTATCCTATACCATTTAATTTCACACTCCTTTTATCTTTCATTCCTTCTGTTGCTTTCCCGCTCTCTCTGTCTTTCTAATTCTGTCTCTCTCTCTGTAAGCTATTCTATTCATGCTGGTGTTGGAGCGAGCTGAACCGAACCGTGACATAAACAAGTAAGTAAAGAAACAGGGAATCGGTCTTTGAGAGGAGCGGAAGAGAAGGAAGATAAGAGGCCAGAGCCAAACAGACAATTAGGCCAGTGCAGCTGGGGGAGAGAGAGAGAGAGAGAGAGAGAGAGAGAGAGAGAGAGAGAGAGAGAGAGAGAGAGAGAGAGAGAGAGAGAGAGAGAGAGAGAGAGAGAGAGAGAGATATACTTTTTTTGACTTTCTTTAATGGTACATCCTCATTTCATTAAAACCTCACCCCACCCCCCTCCCCCTAAAATAAAATAAACAAATTACCAATATCCCTTGTACTGCATACTCACCTTTTCCTCTACCCCACGATACAAAAACAACACCACACATCACAATAACCCAAACCTCACCACCTCTACAACCGTATATCCAGACCATCTTCCCCAGCTATACAGACAGCCCCCCCCCCAACACACCATATCTCTTGAAACATCTCCACACTTTTTATCATTTTATATAACTCAAATTCCACCCTAAGGCGCGCAGAGACCATCTCATTAAATAATAGTAAAGGGTCTGTTATCCCTCCACCTTTGACCCTGTTCCTCCTTGTTATCCAAATAGCTAACTTTGACTGAGCCTGGCGCACACAGAAAACCCATGAATCACAGTTTCACTCATGACACAGAAAGGACACCCCTGTCTGACTCCCAGTTCAACCCGTGCCAACCAGCTGTTGGTGGCCAGGGCTCCATGTAAAACCCTCCACTGGAGGTCCCCTGACCTCTTTGGTACTGGGAGTTTGTAGAGCCCCCTCCATCTAAAACCCACCATACTCTCCGCCCCACATGCCCCCTGCCACTGATGTGCCTTCACTCCTGTTAGGCTCCTAATGTTCCTTACCTTAATACAGAGGTTGTAGAGGGCTTTACCTCCCACCCCCTCAAACTCCCCCAGGCTCAGAGTGTTAAAATCTAACAATTCTTCCAGACCCCCTTGCCAGTCCCCAGTCTCTGCCGTCACCCGCAGTGGCGGAAACATTGGTGGCCCCTCCCCCTTTGGCCGCTCAAACACCCCCCTTACCGGCTCAGACAGTGCCTCCTGGACTTCCCCCAGGAATCTCTCTAGCAGCCTAAGAGATGTTGGTCCTGTTTGTTGTGCTAGGACTTCCGGGGTTTTCCACCCCTCCATTCCCAGCAGTCGCAGGTCACCCAGCCTTAGTAAACCCGCTGCCATCAGTCACCTCTGCAGGGTGGCCGACTGAACCGATCTCAAAAGGATGGCTAGGTGGTAGGCTTCTCCAACACCCACAGCCCAGGCTCCACACCCCCTTCTCTTGTGGACCTTAGCAGCTGCCAGGCCCTCAGCACCGCATAGTAAAAATCAGAGAGACCTGCTGTACTCAGCCCCTCCAGCCTCATGAGGAATAGCTGCCAGTCCAACCCTAACCCGCCAGTCGACATCAGTATGGTACAGCAGTCTCTGCGCCGTCTTAAGTCGGAATGCAGCCACCCTGCTCTCCAGTTCTACCAGACCCTGTCCTCCTTCGTTTACGGACATATACAACACTGCTGCCCTCAGCCAGTGATGGCCCGAACAGAAAACAATCCACGAGCTTATGTTGCAGGTCTGCGAGCAGACCGGCGGGGGGGTTGAGGACAGCCAGTTTATGCCACAGGGAAGATGCCACCAGGTTGTTAAATATCAGCACCCTCCCTCTATATGACACTTGGGACAGGAGCCACCTCCACCTGGCCAGTCTTGACACCACTGCCTGTGACATCCCCTCCCAGTTCTTCCTGACCCACCTCTCCAAGCCCAGGTACACCCCCAAAATGTTAAGCCCTTCACAACCCCACTGCAAACCCCCTGGAAGCAGAGGGGGGGCCCTATCCCTCCATGCCCCACATAACAGAGCTTTGCTCTTGCCCCAGTTCACCTTAGCTGACGAAACTCCCTCGTACACCTTCAGACTAGTCTCTAGTGCCTGCATATCCTGCCCATCCCTGACCATCACAGAAACTTAATCTGCATACGCCGACACTGCTATGCCTGTCAACACACCCATGCCTGTCCAGCACACTCCCTGCATTCTCCCAAAAAAGGCTCAATGGCTAGTGTATAAAACTGCCCCGATAGACGGCATCCTTGTCTAATGCCCCGCCTCACCCAGACTGGCCTACTGAGCCCCCCTCCCACCTTAACCATACATGACGCCCCAGCATACAACATCTTCACACAGGCCAAAAAACTTTCCCCAAACCGAAACGCAGACATCACATTAAACAGATACTCATGGTCCAAAAAGCCTTCTTTTGATCTAAAGAGACCAGTCCAAAGTTCACATTAGAACATCTTGACAAGTCCAACATGTCCCTGATTAAGAACAAGTTGTCCGTGATTGAGCATCCCGTTACACAATATGTCTGGTCCTTGTGTACTATAGAGTCCAGATGGGACTTCAGTCTGTTAGCGAGGACCATGGCAAATATCTTGTAGTCCGCACACAGCAATGCCACAGGCTTCCAGTTCTTAAGTCCCATTTTTTGGGCAGGAGAGTCAGAGTTGCCCGACGGCAGCTCTTCGGCAACTCTCCTACCCCGACGCACTCACGCAACACGCAAAATAAAAAACTGACCAGGTCCCTACGTAATTCAGCTAAATTAGCCTGGTGGCCTACATTGACTTGCCCCACCAGCTCTACCTCCAATAACTGATACTACGCTCAAGTTCCCCCAATACTCTCCTAGCCTCTGAGGATGAGAGAGCTGCATACTGTTGACAGAAAAGCCGAATTTGGACTTTTCCCACATCCCACCAATGACTCAGAGACTCATACTCCTCTCTTCGCTGCCCCCACCTTTCCCAAAAAGTCTGGAAACCTGAGCAAAAAATGGCATCTTGTAAGAGCTTTACATGAAACTTCCAATAGGATGCCTGCCAAACATCCACTAGGTCAAACTGATTAATGATGTCCCTTAACACCCCTACTGAGCTTGAATGAGGCTCCTCCCCATTTCTGTATTTCGTAAAATCCATCGTACAGTTCCAGTCCCCGCTGACTACCAGCGTCTCCTCAAGCGCTACCTGTGAGAGTTCCTGTCTAAGACACCCAAACAGACGCCCCCTCTCTCTCCCTGTGTTAGGCGCATACACATTTATAAGGACAAAACCCCTGTTGTTAATTTCTGCTTTTACTACAAGCAGTCTACCCCTACACACCTCCTTTGAGGAGCACATTTTTACGACCAGACCCGGTGCAAAAACGACTGCCACCCCTGCACTAACATTTGTTCCATGGCTCAGCACACTTGCCCCTTTCCACCAGAGCCCCCAATCAACTTCATTCACCACATCACTATGCGCTCCTGCAGAAACAACACCTGTACTTTTTTTGTTTTAAATATTCACCCAACAGACTCCTCTTTCCCGCATCTCTGGCGCCATTTATATTAAGCAAGCCTACCCGAAGAGTCTCCATAAGAAGTGGGAGAAAAGCCAGCAAAGAAAGAGACCAATAGCAAAGCTCAAAAAGCCCCAGTGCCAGAAAAAAACTATTCATCTAAACAGCATCTGAAGGTAGACCCTTATGTACGGTTGTGACCCACTTCCTCAACCTGAAACGTTTCCTGGGTGAGAGGAAACCATGCCCCTCATTTTTCATGGCGTGTTGTACTGATCGTACAAACTTTCCCAGATCGCAAAAAAAAGCTTCAAGATTAACCCTTTTTTTCCCTTTAGTCTCATTCAGGAACCTTGACAATTCCCTCACCGTGTACTTTGACCCCTCTGTCTGACTGGCTGTCAGCTCTGGACCCATTGAGGAGGAGTCTTAAAAGAAAGCCTCCTCATCGTCCTCTTCCTCAGACTCACCTTCCTCCTCATCATCTCCATCTCCCATCCTGACCAACTGCCCTTTCTCTCTAGTCGGGGCCTCCCCCAGCACTAGGCAAAGGTTCCTTGGTGCCTTTTACCACACCAGACTCTCCCCTCCCACCTCCTTTCTTGTCCCCCTTTTTCCTCTTCCGCCTGACTCCATCCTCCCCCCCCCCCCCCCCCAGTCGATTACCCTTCCCCACTAGCACTAGACCCAGTCTCAGCAACACCACCATCCATAACATGACTAGACCCAGCCTCAGCTACACCACCATCTATAGCATGACTAGACCCAGCCTCAGCTACACCACCATCTATAGCATGACTAGACCCAGCCTCATCTACACCACCATCTCTAGCATGACTAGGCCCAGCCTCATCTACACCACCATCTATAGCATAAACTAGACCCAGCCTCATCTACAACACCACCTCTAGCATGACTAGGCCCAGCCTCATCTACACCACCATCCATAGCATGACTAGACCCAGCCTCATCTACACCACCATCTATAGCATGACTAGACCCAGCCTCATCTACACCACCATCTCTAGCATGACTAGGCCCAGCCTCATCTACACCACCATCTATAGCATAAACTAGACCCAGCCTCATCTACAACACCACCTCTAGCATGACTAGGCCCAGCCTCATCTACACCACCATCCATAGCATGAGTAGTCCCAGCCTCATCTACACCACCATCTATAGCATGACTAGACCCAGCCTCATCTACACCACCATCTATAGCATGACTAGGCCCAGCCACTGCTGCCTGCATCTCATTGCCTCCTGCACGTTGACCTCGATTTCCCCCACTGGTGCTTGTACCCTCACCTTGTCTACGGCCTTTATGTGGGCACGCAAAGCTCTTATGCCCCAAATCCCCACACTCAAAGCACCACAGACTATCTGTGCTGGCAAACCCTGCATAGAGACCCTCCCCATGCCTCACTTTAAAATGCACATTTAACTGTTGCTCATTGTTGTTCAGAAACATGAACACTTGCCTCCGGAACAAAACAACACGCTTAACGGCATCTGCCTGAAAACCTGCTGACAGTACACAGAAACCGCTAGCAAACTTACCAAAACGACTCAGCTCTTTCCTGATTTGATCATCCGTAATAAACGGAGGCAAATTTGCAACTACCACCCTAGTCGAAGTGGGGAAATCGGCTACCAACACACCCCTTCGAAATATTCCACTAGCAATGAGCCTACCCACCAAATTTGCTCTTTTCATGAACATAACCACAGCTTTGTTCATTCTTGATGCGGAATGTATAAATTCAGCTCCTACCTGTTCGCTGACCGCGAGCAGAGCCTCCTCCACCTTTATTCCATTCTCAGGAACACACCTGAATCCATGCCATAACGACAGCGTCTCCTCCGCGCTAGGCTGTGAAGCCATCACGCACACCACACCGCTCAAACCCCAGGAAACTAAAACTCCTTCCTCTTCCTCCCTAACATTGAAATAAAAACAGTGGGTACTGCTAAAACAAACAGTGCATTAACCCTCCACCATATAAAATACAAATGTAAAGGAAAGAACAAGGAAAGACACAACAAAATAAGTTAGGACAGAGACCTCCACACGACCTCTCAAACTCCCCCAAAAACTCCCAGCATGCATTGAGAGAGAGAGAGAGGAGAGGAGAGGTCCAAGTATCTCTGTACTGCAGACAAACTGAGTTAGATCAGCTCTATGGCATGTATTTCTCTCTGTTCTCCCTTCCTTTTCTTTCTTCCTTTCTTCCTGTTCTCCTTTTATACCTTGTCTACCGTATGTTTCACACCTCTCTTCTTCTTTTCCTTTCCTCTCATCCTTTCTTCTTGTTCTTCCCCACTCTTCTTTATTGCTACCTTTGATGTCCTATGCTACGCTCTGGCTGTGGCTTTCTCTACTTCTCTTTCTTCTGACTGTGCTGTTCTTTCCCTTCCATTAATCTATCTGTCCCAGGCCCAATCACAGATAGACAGCATAGCACTCGTTTGTCATGTTAGACAACAGGATGGAAATCTGCAATCTGCAGATTTGAATGTGGGAAAGGAGAGGGAAGGCTGGATAGCAAGATGAAAGAGAGGGGAGAGAGAGAGATACAGACAGACAGAGAGAGTGAGAGAGAGAGAGAGAGAGAGAGTGTGCGAGGAGGAGGGTGCAAGATAATAGAACTCTCATTTTCTAGCCTTGATATCTAATTCAAGATAAGCTTGTACATTATTGTTATTTGAATTTATTTTCATCAAGCCCTAACTAATACTGTATTTAAACTTCAGAAACAGAAAAGTACATGCAATGAATGGTCTATCAGCTATCAGTTGTTCTATCAGCTACGGTCTGCTCTGGGGTGTGTATGCTGACTAGACGCAAGACAGGGAAGGCTGGCACTCACCTTTGACTATAGGCTTGGCACAGGTGTTGTACATAGATAGAAGTATGAGAGAGACGACGAGAGAGGAGAGAGAGAGAGAGAGAGAGAGAGAGAGAGAGAGCGAGAGAGAGATAGTAGATAGATCTATCTCGAGATATAGAGAGAGATCCGAGAGAGAGAGCTATATATCTCGATATCTAGAGGAGCGAGCCGCTAGCGCTCGCGAGATAGAGATACAGAGATAGATGAGGCTGGCACTCACCTTTGACTATCTGCTTGGCGCAGGTGTTGTACACCTGTTCCTGTGTTGTGTTGGTGGGGAACACCCGGTCAAACGCATAGGACTTCCCCTGTGGAGCCAAGACACACAGTGTCTGGGTCAGTCAATACATCAATACAAACACACAGACAAACACTGTCTCTGACTCTGGGTTTGTCTCAAATGGCACCCTATTCCACTGAACAGAAAACATGCACTACTTTTGACCCTATTCCCTATGTATTACATTACTTCCCTATGTATTACACTATCATAGGGCTCTGGTAAAAGTAGTGCACTATATAGGGAATAGGGTGCATTTGGGATGCATACAGAGACAACCACAGCCCTTAACACGATCCATGAGAATGGCGACGCAGGGAATGGTGGCCGTTTAACGGGTTCCAGAACAATTGTCCTATTTTGTGAATTTCAGACACACATTCAACCACAAAGACTAGGGAGGTTTTTTGAATGCCTCACAAAGAAGGTCACCTATTGGTAGATGGGTAAAAAAAGCAGACATTGAATATCCCTTTCAGCATGATGAAGTTATTAATTACACTTTGGATGGTGTATCAATACACCCAGTCACTACAAAGATACAGGCGTCCGTCCATCCTAACAGTTGCCGGAGAGGAAGGACACCGCTCAGGGATTTTACCATGAGGCCAATGGTGACTTTAAAACAGTTACAGAGTTTAATGTGATAGGAGAAAACTGAGGATGGATCAACAACATTGTAGTTACTCCACAATATTAACCTAATTAACAGAATGAAAGAAGGAAGCCTGTACAGAATATAAATATTCCAAAACATGCATCCTGTTTGCAACAAGGCACTAAACTAATAGTGCAAAAAATGTGGCAAAGCAATGAACATTTTGTCCTGAATACAAAGCATTATGTTTGGGGCACTCTTCATATTTTCAAGCATAATGGTGGCTGCATCATGTTATGGGTATACTTGTAATCGTTAAGGACTGGGGAGTTTTCAGGATAAAAAATAAACAGAATGGAGCTAATAAGCACAGGCAAAATCCTAGAGGAAAACCTGGATCCGTCTGCTTTCCATCAGACACTGAGAGATTAATTCACCTTTCAGCAGGACAATAACCTAAAACACAAGGCCAAATCTAAACTGGGCAAATGTTGCACAATCCAGGTGTGGAAAGCTCTTAGAAACTTACCCAGAAAGACTCACAGTGAATGTGTAATCGCTGGAGAATACACAGGACGAGCTCCATTCGAGACTATCCTATCAAAGGGACATTAAGATCTGTAATATACTATGCTTCTCGGAGTCATGGCTGAACAAGGACATGGATAATGTAAATTGAGCTGGTTTTTCTATGCATCGACAGGACAGAATGGTAGAATCCGGTAAGATCAGTGGTGGTGGTGTGTCTCTCTTCATTAACAACAGCTGGTGCACGATCTCTAATATTAAGGAAGCCTCGAGGTTCTGCTCGCCTGAGTTAGAATACCTCATGATAAGCTGTAGACCACACTATTTACCAAGATAGTTTTCATCTAAATTTTTTAGTAGCTGTCTATTTACTACCACAAACCGATGCAGGCACTAAGACCGCACTCAACGAGCTGTATAGAGCCATAAGCCAACAAGAAAATGATCATCCAGAGGAGGCACTCCTAGTGGCCTGTGATTTTAATGCAGGAAAACTGAAATCTGTTTTATCTCATTTCTACCACCATGTCACATGTGCAACTAGAGGGATAAAAACTCAAGATCACCTTTACTCCACACACAGAGATGCATACAAAGCTCTCCCGCACCCTCCATTTGGCAAATCGGACCATAACTTTATCCTCCTGATTCCAGCTTACAAGCAAAAACTCAAACAGGAAGTACCAGTGGCATGCTCAATTCGAAAGTGGTGCGATGAAGCGGATGCTAAGCTAAAGGACTGTTTCGCTTGTACAGACTGGAATATGTTCCGCCGTTTAATCCGATGGCATTGAGGAGTTTACCACATCAGTCACCGGCTTCATTAATAAGTCCATTGACGACATTGTCCCCTAAAGGCTAGAGCTGCCGCTTTCAAGGAGCAGGGCACTAATGCTTCTGAGAAATCCCGCAACGCCCTCTGATGAACCATCAAACAGGCAAAGCGTCAATACAGGACTAAGATCGAATCATACTACGCCGGCTCTGACGCTCGTCGGATGTGGCAGGGCATGCAAACTATCATGGATTACAAAGGGAAACCTAGCTGAGAGCTGCCCAGTGATGCAAGCCTACCAGATGAGCTAAATGCCTTCTATGCTCACGTCGAAGCAAGCAACACTGAACCATGCATGAGAGCACCAGCTGTTCCGGACAACTGTATGATAATCTCTCCGTAGCCGATGTGAGTAAGACCTTTAAACAAGGCCGCAGGGCCAGACGGATTACCAGGACGCGTACTCAGAGCATGCGTTCACTAACTGGCAAGTGTCTTCACTGACATTTTCAACCTCTTTCTGACCCAGTCTCTAATACCTGCATGCTTCAAGCAAACCATCATAGTCCCTGTGCCTAAGAACGCCAAGGTAATCTGTCTAAATGACTACCACCCCGTTGCACTCATCTGTACCCATGAAAGGCTTTGAAAGGCTGGTCATGGCTCATATCAACACCATCATCCCAGAAACCCTAGACCCACTACAATTTGCATACCACCCCAACAGATCTACAGATGATGCGATCTCTATTGCAGTCCACACTGCCCTGTCCCACCTGTGTGTGTGTGTGTGTGTGTCTGACTCGATTTTACAGCAACATACAGTACACCACACAGCATCAATATTTTACTACCACTATATGTAATATGCTTGGAGAAAGCACATAGAGTACTTAATGTGTGGACGCCGATGCGGTCGGGGATATTGCACATAGTTATTCCTCAGGACTTCTGAGCATTAGGACTTCTAGTGTAGATAGTGCAGAGAGAAAGAGAGAGTGTTTTGGGTGTGTTTTTGAGTGCATATACAGTGCCTTCAGAAAGTATTCACACCCCCTTGATTTATTTGTTGTGTTACAGCCTGAATTTAAAAAATATTAAATTGAGATGTTTTTTCACTGGCCTGCACACAATACCCTATCATGTCAAAGTGGAATTATGTTTTTTATATTTTTACAAATGAACTAAAAATGAGTCAATACGTTTTCAACTCCTGTGTTATGGCAAGCCTAATAAGTTCAGGAGTAATACTTTGCTTAACAATTCACATAATAAGTTGCATGGACTCAATCTTTGTGCAATAATAGTGTTTAACATGATTTTTGAATGACTACCTCATCTCTGTACCCCACACATACAAATATCTGTAAGGTTCCGCAGTCGAGCAGTGAATTTCAAACACAGATTCAACCACAAAGACAAGGGAGGTTTTTCAACGCCTCGCAAAGTGCACCTATTAGTAGATAGGTAAAAATACAAAAAACAGACATTGAATATGCCTTTGAGCATGGTGAAGTTATTAATTACACTTTGAAAGGTGTATCAATACACCCAGTCACTACAAAGATATAGGCATCCTTCCTAACTCAGAGGAAGGAAACCGCTCAGGGATTTCAACATGAGGCCAATGGCGACTTTAAAACAGTTACAGAGTTTAATGGCTGTGATAGGAGAAAACTGAGGATGGATCAACAACATTGTAGTTACTCCACAATATTAACCTAATTGACAGTGAAAAGAAGGAAGAATACAAATATTCCAAAACATGGGCAATGACCAACAACCAATTTGACAAAGCTTGAAGAATTTTGAAAATAATCAACAGGGAAAAGTTGCACAATCCAGAATGAAAGCACTTAGAGACTTACCCAGAAAGAATCACAGCTGTAATCGCTGCCAAAAGTGATTCTACAAGGTACTGACTCAGGGGTGTGAATACTTATGTAAATTAGATATTTCTGTATTTAATTTCCAAGAAATTTGCAAAAATGTCAAAAAAACATGTTTTCACTTTGTCATTATGGGCTATTGTGTGTACATGGTTGAGAAAAATGAAATACACTACATGGCCAAAAGTATGTGGACACCCGCTCGTCGAACATCTCATTCCAAAATCATGGGCATTAATATGGAGTTGGTCCCCCCTTTGCTATAACAGCCTCCACTCTTCTGGGAAGGCTTTCCACTAGATGTTGGAACATTGCTGCGGGGACTTGCTTCCATTCAGCCACAAGAGCATTAGTGAGGTCGGGCACTGATGTTGGGCGATTAGGCCTGGCTCGCAGTCGGCGTTCCAATTCATCCCAAAGGTGTGCGATTGGATTGAAGTCAGGGCTCTGTGCAGGCCAGTCAAGTTGTTCCACACCGATCTCGACAAACCATTTCTCTATGGCCCTTGCTTTGTGCATGGGGGCATTGTCATGCTGAAACAGGAAAGGGCCTTCCCCAAACTGTTGCCACAAAGTTGGAAGCGTAGAATCGCTTCAGCACTCGGCGGTCCCGTTCTGTGAGCTTGTGTGACCTACCACTTTGCGGCTGAACCATTGTTGCTCCTAGACGTTTCCAGTTCACAATAACAGCTCTTACAGTTGACCGGGGCAGCTGTAGCAGGGCAGAAATGTGACAAACTGACTTGTTGGAAGGTTGGCATCCTATGACGGTGCCACATTGAAAGTCACTGAGCTCCTCAGTACGGGCCATTCTACTGCCAATGTTTGTCTAGGGAGATTGCATGGCGGTGTGCTCAATTTTATACACCTGACAGCAACAGGTATGGCTGAAATAGCTGAATCCACTAATTTGAAGGGGTGTCCACATACATTTGGCAATGTAGTGTATTTCATCCATTTTAAATTCATGCTGTTATACAACAAAAGGTGGAATAAGTCAAGGGGTATGAATACTTTCTGAAGGCGCTGGAGATAGTGTTATTGACAGTGTGTATTGTGAGTGTGTTTCTGAGTGTGTATTGACATTGAGTGGCTATAGAGAGAGATGTTTTAAATAGGTGGGGTTGAATAGGTCAGGCAGCTGCCCCCTAGGGAGGATCACATGACAGGCCAACCCATTAGACTGATACATATTTCATACTGGCTCCAGTATGGGAGGAAGAGGAGGAGGAGGAGAGAGTGGATTTTGGTTAGGGTTTAAGATTAGGGTTAGGTTTTCTGGTCAGAGTTAGGGTTTTTGGGGTTAGGGTTACAGTTAAGGGTTAGGGGTAGGGGTAGGGTTAGTGTTAGGGTTAGGTTTAGGGTAAGGAGTTAGGGAAAATGTGATTTTTAATGGTCAAACATTGTTACACTCCAAAAAGTCCTGTAATTTCACGAAAAAAAAGCAGTGTATGTGTGTGTGTGTTTGTGTGTGTGTGTGTGTGTGTGTGTGTGTGTGTGGTAAATGGTCTCTCTGCGGCATGCGGCAGGCCAATCTGATTTCCTGATTCAATCAGACCTCAGTGAGTTCGAGTCAGGGATTGAGGGATTGAGTGATGGAGGAACGGAGAAATGGAGGGATGGAAGGATGGCGGGACGGAGGGGTGAAAGGATGGAGGGATGGAGGAATGAAGGGATGAAGGGGCGGAGGGATGGATGGATGGAGATGGAGAGACTGCAGTGAAAATCTCCATAATGAAACAGACCTGTCACCGGCCAGCCCCACCCACCCACCCCCCACCCCCTCCATCCCTCCTCCCTCCCCTCCTCCCCTGCTGTTTGCCAGCACAGATTCAGTAATTAGTCCATCTAGCCTCACCTTTCCTCCTATCATCTTCTCCCTTTCTCCTCCCCTCACGTCCTACTCGCTCCTCTACTCTCCTATACCCTCTCCTCCTTTCTCATCTTCTTCCTCTCTCTTCCCCTCTCCCTTCCTCCTCACCCTCTCCCCTCTCATCATATCTCCCCTCCTTTCTACTGCTCCTCTCCTCCCTTCTTAGCTCTCTGTGTGTAGATTGCCTAGGCACATATTTTCCCCAAACTATATTTAGGATCATCCACTTCACTGAATTATACATGTTTAACAGTTGTGACACAAGAGCCTGAAATGTTAATATTCTCTTCTGAGCTGCTAGGGGTTCCATTCTGGAACACGTTCCTGTTCTATTCTGGTGTTGTTCTGAGCTGCAATGGGCCTAAACACTTAATCTGCTTCCCAAATGACACCCTATACATACTGTACTACTAGTGAACTATATAAGAAATATGGTGCCATTTGGGATGCAGACAATATCTACTGACTCATTGGCTTTAAACTCACATTCAGGTAGTTCTGGAAGTGTTCTTAGGATGTTCAGTTATACATTTCTGCAGCAGACAGGGAAATCATATACAGTGTGTAGAGAAGATGATTTCCTGAGGTCCTACTATGACATAGTTGAATAGACTGAATAGAGAGTGTTTTTGTACTTCCCATTTAAACTGAAAAGGTTTTCAAGTGTCACAATTTCACCGCCGGTCAATATCTACTGATTCACTGGCTTAAGAGTTCAGTTATTAATTTCTGCTACAGACAAGGAAATACAGAGTATATGGAGACATTTTCCTGAGGTCCTGATATGACATAGTTGAATAGGTAATAGACTCCATGTTTTTCGTAATCTGAAATTGGTTTCAAATAACTGAAACGGTTTTCAACTGTCACAATTACACCGCCGAGCTGGCCAGGTGCAAACAAGCTTTCCATTAGGTCTGATTACCGTTGGGCACAGTTCCAAAAGATGTACTCCACACAGAGCAGAACGATGCACTTAGCAGAAAAACAGAAAACGTGTTGGCTTTCACCAGGGGCCTGTGAATGATATGAAATGCTTATACTGTATAATATAATGAGGATCAAAAACATCCCTATTGCTTTGCTAAGCCGTTTGTTATCCTGATCTCCCTCCTTAAAGCTAATCTGCTATTTTGTTTTGTTCTGCTGCAGAAACATGATAATGCGGATGTTCAAATCGTAAAAACACTAAGCTGAACTGGGACTTTGTCAGCACACTCTTAGAAAAAAGGGTTCCAAAAGGTTGCTACGGCTGTCCCCATAGGAGGACCCTTTTTGGTTCCAGGTAGAACCCTTTTGGGTTCCAGGTAGAACCCTCTGTGGAAAGCGTTCTACATGGAACCCAAAAGGGTTCTACCTGGAACCAAAACGGTTCTACCTGGAATCAAAAATGGCTATTCTAAGGGCTCTGCTATGGAGACAGCCGAAGAACCCTTTTAGGTTCTAGATAGCAAATAAAAAAATCCAAGAGTGTACATACACTGTATACATGTGTTTGTGTGTGTGTGTGTGTGTGTTGCATGTGAAACACATCAGGCCTCCCTTCCTTCAACAGCCTCCAATCTATTGTTAGCGTGAGAGTGGGGGAGTGGGGGAGAGCTAGCTATGAGAGAGGTTCTGGGCTATAGGGAAAAACAAAGAGAGGGGTGGAAAAGGAGGAGGAGAAGACAGGCCAGAAGAGAGATGGGGGAGGGAGGGAGGGAGGGAGGGAGGGAGGGAGGGAGGGAGGGAGGGAGGGAGGGAGGGAGGGAGGGAGGGAGGGGTGAAGGGGCGGTGGGATGGAGGGGTGGAGATGGAGAGACACTGCAGTGAAAATCTCCATAATGAAACAGACCTCAGTCACCGGCCAGCCCCCCCCCCCCCCCACCCCCCTCCATCCCTCCTCCCTCCCCTCCTCCCCTTCTGTTTGCCAGCACAGATTCAGTAATTAGTCCATCTAGCCTCACCTTTCCTCCTATCATCTTCTCCCTTTCTCCTCCAACTCGCTCCTCTCCTATACCCAAAACTATATTTAGGATCATGCACTGAATTATACATGTTTAACAGTTGTGACAGAAGAGCCTGAAATGTTGATATTCTCTTCTGAGCTGCTAGGGGTTCCATTCTGGAACATGTTCCTGTTCTATTCTGGTGTTGTTCTGAGCTGCAATGGGCCTAAAGACTTCCCAAATGACACCCTATACATACTGTACTACTTTTGACCTGAGCCCTATAGGTAAACATTTGTGAACTATTTAAGAAATATGGTGCCATTTGGGATGCAGACAATATCTACTGACTCATTGACTTTAAACTCACATTCAGGTAGTTCTGGAAGTATTCTTAGGATGTTCAGTTATTCATTTCTGCAGCAGACAGGGAAATCATATACAGTGTGCAGAGAAGACGATTTCCTGAGGTCCTACTTTGACCTAGTTGAATAGACTGTGAGTGTTTTTTGTACTTCCCATTTAAACTGAAAAGGTTTTCAAGTGTCACAATTTCACCACCGTTCAATATCTACTGACTCACTAGCTTTAAGATTTCAGTTATTATTTTTTGCTGCAGACAGGGAAAATAAACTGTATGGAGACATCAGAACCTGAGGTTCTGATATGACATAGTTGAATAGGTAATAGGCTCCATGTTTTTCGTCATCTGAAATGGGTTTCAAATAACTGAAACGGTTTTCAACTGTCACAATTACACTGCTGAGCTGGCCAGGTGCAAACAAGCTTTCCATTAGGTCTGATTACCGTTGGGCACAGTTCCAAAGGATGTACTCCACACAGAGCAGAACGCTGCACTGAGCAGAAAAACAGAAAATGTGTTGGCCTTCACCAGGGGCCTGTGAATGAAATGAAATGCTTATATGATATAATGAGGATCAAACACATCTCTATTGCTTTGCTAAGCCGTTTGATATCTTGATCTCCCTCCTTAAAGCTAATCTGCTATTTTGTTTTGTTTTGTTCTGCATACGTGTGCTATACGTTTCTCCATTCTCTGTGTGTGTGTGTGTGTGTGTGTGTGTGTGTGTGTGTGTGTGTGTGTGTGTGTGTGTTTTTGTGTGTGTTTGTGTGTTGCATGAGAAACACAGCAGGCCAAGGCCTCCCTTCCCTCACCAGCCTCCAATCTGTTGTTAGCGTGAGAGTGGGGGAGTGGGGGAGAGCTAGCTATGAGAGAGGTTCTGGGCTATAGGGAAAGACAAAGAGAGGGGTGGAAAAGGAGGAGACAAGGGAAGGAGGGAGGGAGGGAAGGAGAGAGAGAGAGAGAGAGAGACTAGAGAGAGAGAGATGAGCATCTGAGCGCGAGGCTCGCCTCTCGAGAGCTATCGTCCGCTCTCTCTCTCTCGTCGCCTCTCGCTCCAATCGCTCGTCGTCTCTGCTCTCTCCGCGGTCGCTCCTCCTTTGAGTCTGTGTTCCCATGCTCAAATGTGATGTGGCCCTGGGGACCATCACAGCTCTGCTACTCTGCTCTCTAACCAACAAGGCCCTGGGCTGTTGGGTGTGTTGGTGTGTGTGTGTGTGTGTGTGTGTGTGCACTTGCCAGAGGGTTGGGGGTGGTGGGCTTAACCAAGGCAGCAGCTATATAGCCATGGGATTTGCTTCAGAGCTTCCTTTTCACACTCTATTACCCTCCCTCTCGTCTATCTCTCGCTTCTCTCGCTTTGCATCTCAATGCATCGCTGGCTACATCTGGTGGGTTGGTAAAGAAATAAATGAAAAGCACAGATTGATAAATAAGAGGCTTAGGGATTTGGTGATTGTCACTGTATGTGTTTTTCCCTCCCACTTGACTTGACTCTCTGCCGTGGCCCGAGCAAAGAGATTGTCTCCTCTCCTCTCAGAGGTATTAAGGGCCCTACACACCAGGCGTGTGTGTGTCACACGGGATTGCCTGCTTATAAAGGGCCTTTCACTCGGGACGCAGCCTGCTCTCAGGGCAGGTCTCTGGCCAGCTATAGGCTGCTCTGGACACAGAATCTCTATGGTTCTGGGCTTCTGGCTCCCTACAGCTAAACCACAGACAGACAGTTGGTAGAGCATGGCGCTTGCAACGCCAGGGTTGTGGGTTCGTTTCCCATGGGAGGCCAGTATGAAAAATGTATGCACTCACTAACTGTAAGTCGCTCTGGATAAGAGCGTCTGCTAAATGACTAAAATGTCAAATGTAAATCATTACACTCCCCATCAACAATGGCAGGCACAATCCTGGAATACATTACATTAAAATAATACATCTGTATTTAGAAAATACATGACAGAAGTGCCAAATAATCTCTCTCTCTCTCGCTCTAGAAAATGCCTGTTAAACTGCTACACAATCCCTGGATACCATCAGGCTCTCTAAATAGGGGGCATATTTATGGTTACAAATTACAATACAATGGTTAGGCCTACATGCTGGTTGTCAAGGAAAATGTAGAGAATGCAAATTATGCAGAAAAAAAGAAGGAAAAAAATGAAAAGAAAATGAAATACTTTCAAATCAAAGTTTATCCCAAACCATTTGCTTAGATAACTAGAAGTTTCTCACTATCGTTGTGCACTGGCATATATAACGTATTTTTCGAACGTTTAAAATTGGAGCAATTAGTATTTTATGGAACTGGAGCACTCTGCATTATTCATTAAGAGGCTGTGAGAGGGAGAACGAGAGAAAGAAATAGGAAAGAGCGAAAGGGCAGAGAAATGGAAAGGTTCTCTTTGTTCCTGGATCGATTTTCACAATTTGAGAGTGGGGAGAGGAGAGCTAAGCTAGAGGAGAGAGAGAGAGGAGTCAGAAGGAGAGAAGAATATTTCCCTTGGTTCTCTAACTCTGCCGTGAGGGGAGAGTGGGCGAGAGAGAGAGTGATGAAAAGAGAGATGAAGAGAATTCAGAGAGAGAGGGAGCGAAGAGTTAGAGAGAGGGAGAGGGAAGAGGGGAGAGAATCACAGGGAAGTGACTAATCCAAAGGAACAAATGCCACCTAGCCCCCACGGAAGAGATTGTCATGGTCCTCTCGAGAGCACACACACAGAGAGAGAGAGAGGGTAAGAAAGGAAGAAAAAGAGCGAGGGGAGAGAGAGACAGAGGGAGCGAATCACACGGCTGTGTCCAGGGGGGCCATTGCCACCAAGGAGCGACTAGCACGCTCCCCTTGAGGGCATACACTGCGAGGGGGGTGGACGGTGAAAGAGAGGGGAGAGGGTGAAAAAGAGAGAGAGAGATGGAGACTTGCAAGAGCAAAGGCGTAGAGCCAAAGCGAGCCCATTTCTCATTGTATGTGCCAGTTCAAGCCTTGATACAGCCGTGAGAGAGAAAGACAGGCATGTCAGATGATGGAAGTGCTTTCATATCAACCTGACACATCTGTGTTTTACTGTACAGTCTTTCAGTGATGTGCACATTAACATGGATGGGTTTAGCCTGAGGAGTTGGCATGCCGACACCCAGTACAGCCAACACACAAGTACACAGACAATCAACGTTAACTCAGAAAATTTGTTAAATTCACTTGAATTACATACATTCAAATAGATTTGATCAACCACAGCCTTAGGGGAGAGCTTAATTTTAACCCCTCAAACTAAGAGGCTGTGTACTGATTTTCCACCCTAAAGTGTTACCTTGCACAGTTGCTGTCATGGATTTGAAAGCAGGGTAGAGAGTCGGGACTCGGTACACATCCAGAGACCCTACCCACTGGGCAGAAACTGGTTTCAACGTAATCTGTCAACATATTCTGAAGTGGAATTTAAGTGGAAAATACATTGGATTTGAAAGAGGGTGTAGAGGGTGAAACTGCAACCACAGGTAACCAATTTTCAACATTGACAAACCTTGAACAAAATATGTTGAATTTGTACCTTTTGAAAAAATATCCACAATAAGAAAAAAACTATAGGCTGGTCAGCACCTCCTACTGGAGAGTTGATATGTCTACAGCTACCCTTTGGTCTCCCATCCAGGGTTTTAACCAAGTCCGGCCCTAGGTAGCTTTGACATTTGTCACCGACTGTTACCAATGTGCTATTGTGAGAGTGATTGTTGGGAAATCTCCACTTAATAGATTCACTTTTGCTATCAAAGTCATTTGAAAGGGTAGGTTTAACACAGCAAATTAAATGTAACCATACTTTATCAATCATATATCATCACTGATGCTATTTAGGCCTATATAGCATTAGCAAAGTCATCAACAGCTGTTGTTTAAATTCAACCCAGGATTAAACTAAAAATAGACAATACATATAGGGCTAGGGTTTCAAGCTTTGGTTGATTTCAAATGGATCTACAAGTTAGTAAAAAAATATGTTGGATTCATGTCTCCATCTCAACCAAAAACCTACGTTTTATGACTAAATCAAATCAAACTGTATTTAATGTGCATTGGTTGAAATGGAGACGTGAATCCAACAATTATTAATTTGCAGACAAATTGGAATTAAAGCCAGACTCAGTGGCACAGACGAAACTATCCAAGGATACAACTCCTTCAAAAGTTGATATTTGGTTGCGTTGACAACCAAACACAATTCAATATCACATTTGCAATAGATTAAATAGCCTAATAAGTTGTCGACCAGTTAAAAATCTAATCAAATCAAATGTTATTTGGCACATGCTTTGTAAAGTGTAGACTAACAGTGAAATGCTTACTTACGGATCCTTTTCCAACAATGCAGAGTTCAAAATTGAAAAACATCAAATAAAAATAGAAATAGTGACACAAGGAATAAATACACAGTGAATAACGAAAAACAATAAAGAGTAAAAATAACATGGCTATATACAGGAAGCACCAGTACTGAGTCCATGTGCAGGGTTACGAGGTAATTGAGGTAGCTATGTACATATAGGTAGGGGTTAAGTGACTAGGCAACAGGATAGATAATAGACAGTAGCAGCAGTGTATGTGGTGACTGTGAAAGTGTATGTGTGAGTGAGTGTGTGTGTGGCGTCAGTATGCATGTGTGCACATGTTATGTGGGTGTGG